ATCAGAGCCGACGATGACGAGGATGAGCTCTGTGGCACAGCACTCTGAGGATGAAGCAAACACTGACAGGACGCTCGCGGGGTCTAATTTACCACTTCCTGCTGCCGCCATGGTTACCACCATCAGGTGACTGATCACAGAGTCATCTGTTACCATGGTGATCTCGGCGTGGATGTGTTCCTGCAGTTTTAACCCCGAGTCGGTGCTCGGTGAAGCTCTCTGGTCAAATGGTTCGTCTCTGACACGCTGAGCCTGCTGGCGAGGGTTTGAATTTGAGTTGGTGACCAATCAGAGCAGTGTGTGTGGCGGGAAACCGTCAGCTGTCTGTGAGCTGAGAGGAAAAAGGTGACCCGTGCAGGTGCCGCTCGCATATCAGACGGCCTTCTCAGTCTTCGGATGGAGCATGCAGGATAGCTGCGTGTGTCTCAAAGCTCGGCTCGGCTCGACTCTCCGGGAATGTTGTGCACATCCGGCTGTTCCTTAATCTGACTGATTTAAACCGGAGAGGACGGATGTAGCGAGATGATAGCCGTGGTTTCAGAGTGCGGCCTGCTGCGGCTCTAAACGCTTCGCAGCGTGTTATTAAGGAGTCGCTGCAAAGACGCCGCCATGCCAAAGCTAACAGATATAGTTAGAGGTTACGCTGACTGTCACCATCGCTCCATTTAGACGCTCGCTCCGACCAGCACAAAAACAAGTCTTCCTTCACACGATGTGACCTTCAGCTCGGCGAGGAAACCCGGCCTCTGCTGCACACGAGACATAAAAACACCACTTCATATGGAGGGATAAACCTGAGACATGGAGGCTGACAACAAGCTGCACGCCTACAGCTCCTGCACACATAGGCGGATGTGCACACGTGTTTCATGGCATTATTTGAAAGGACTGAGTCACACTGACCCTTTGTTTTCACTGATGCTGTGCTTGACTGAGGTTTGCTGTCACTGCGGTGCATTGGGCACAGCAGCCCATCTCTGCAGGTTTGGAGGGTCTGTACGTAAAACCTCCGCTAGACACAACACAGTGAGCTGTGTCAAAGTCACCCACACTGGAGGACTGGAATATCTGTACTCCTAAAAACAACAACAAGCAGAGGAACTCGACGAGCAACAAAAGCTGAAGGCAGACCGACTTGAGTGACGGTCGCTGACTGAGGTGACCAACTCTGTCACGACTCTGACAAACAAACTGGCATAAAGCGGAGCGCTGCTGAGAGCAGGATTATGCTGGCTGAAGAACAGCAGTCGAATCCACCAGGACAATGAAGCAACTTTCCATCTAGAACATCAGAGACGAAGAAGTCAGGACTCTTTGCTGGTTTCTGTAGTTTAAAGAGCGGCTCGCAAAGGACGGGCCGAGGCAGAACCACAGCGAGTCCAGTGCAGACAAGACGTTTGTTGAACAGGAAGTTTGTGTTGATTCCATCTGAATCCGGGCTTCACGACAGGAAGCTGCATCTGTTCTCAGTCCTGAAGGCAGTGGAGCATTTCTACCACCCTGGAAACGCTGTCTCGCCTCTGCTCGCACAAACACCTTTTTCCTCTTTTTCTGAACCAGCTTCTGTTCTGGGTTCAAATCAACCTGAGCTCTGTTTTCCAAAGAGTACGTCACTCGAACTGCAACACGTTAACCAGGGAGAACTTCACAGGTTTACTTTCATCTGTGTGCCGTTCATGTCATCATAGCATGAAGCAGGACTGACGTGCGTTTCTCAACCATTAGAGATTTCACACAGTGACAGAGCCTGAGAACTGAGGAAGTATGAGCGGCCACACGGAGCGCCTGGATTAGCTCACCAATCAGATTTCATCAAACATTCGCAGAAACGTATCGAAACACGTCGCCCTTCTTAGCGTAGTGGTAAGACCACACAGCTTTGGAGTGGAAGTCGCAAGTTTGATTCCCTCCCAGTATCCAGTAAGGGTCCTGGCTAGGCCCACCAAGCCCTGACATGGCGCGGCTACATCTGCGGCCTGTCTGCAGCTCGGACACGACACATTTCACTGCATGTTGTGCTCTGTATGATTGTGTACGTGACCAATGAAGCTCGTTTCTTTCTTCTTTTCTCAGAGTCTGGCAGTAACCTCACTGGACACTCAGTTTAACGGGTTCTGGAATAAAAATATGCTCGGCGTGACTGCGGCGTGACCTCGCCGTGACCGCGGCGTGCTCAGTCAGTAGATCTATCAGTGTTTAAACAGGTGTTTCAGTAGACGATGAGCCTTTAATGAGGAGCTCTTGAGTCAGTGTCGCTGAGCTTTTTATTGAACTCGTTTGGACAGAAAAGTCCCACAGCTGCATTAACACGTGGGCCGTTGGTTTCTTAGTATTTTGACACATCTGCGTCGTGGGTGGATATGAAACATGGAAACGCTGTCCCATCACAGTTACAGAAGAAAAGTTGACGTTTGGCACAAAGCCCTGCGGCGTGCAGGGGAAACCCGGTGTTGCTCATGTTTCCCGATATGGAGAAATTCAGATTTGAGAGGTGGGGGTCGGGCGGAGGTTTCAGGACGTGCCTGACGAGGTGAGAGAGGAGACTTTAAGGGGCCTCAGCACCCGGATGGCCTGAAACGCTGCAGCCATCGCCATCACATCCTGGGCCTCTGGAGTCAGCGATCATATTTGTGTTTGACTGGCTTTACTGCGTGTTAATAAAGGGGACCTGTCTTTGACTGCAGCCTCTTCTCACCCCCTCTGTTTATGTCTGAGGATGGGAGGAGTCTCCCTTCGAGTCCACTTCCTCCTGCCGGCTGATACGCACGCTCACAAATATCTGAGCACCCGGTGCCGCGGTTATTACTGAGACTGCAGGATGGAGAGGATGTAGCACGGCTGCCGAGGGTGAGACCGACGACAGAGGGGTGGTGGTGCGCTTTTAGTGTGACGAAAGACACCAGCCGTGGGTGTGTGAATGTCTGCAGGTTACTGTGAGGCTGTGATCAGCGTTTGTAAAAGCTTTGTTATAGTAGAGTCAGTGTAAGAGTACCCGTGTTATCATTGCAGACAGCAGCCAAAGAAACTGACCAGAGGAAGTAGTTTCTCAATGCAGTTATTTTTCTGCCGCGTGTCACAACGAGTGGCTCCTGCTCCGTGTCTGTGTGTGTGTGTGTGTGTGTGTGTGTGTGTGGGGCAAAGTGCTCCTGCGCAGTGTACCAGATGCACAGAGAAAAGTTGTCGTACCATAGGCAAGAGGAGTGTGTGTGTGTGTGAGGGAGAGAGAGTGAGTGAGTGAGTGAGTAAGTGAGTGAGTGAGTGTGTGTGTGTGTGTGTGTGTGTGTGTGTGTGTGTGGGGCAAAGTGCTCCTGCGCAGTGTACCAGATGCACAGAGAAAAGTTGTCGTACCATAGGCAAGAGGAGTGTGTGTGTGTGTGAGGGAGAGAGAGTGAGTGAGTGAGTGAGTGAGTGTGTGTGTGTGTGTAAAACCAGCAGACATGTTCAGGCAGATGAAGTTTGTCAGTGTGAACACATGAAGGTTGATTCGGAGCGAGTCCACTGCAGCGAGCAGCAGATCCTGGGGTTCGTCGTCTGTAAGAATAAAGCATATCGTGGTTGTTGTGATGCTGCGCGGCTCTGTTGGCGGTCGTTTGTCAGCGGTGACTCGGGGCTGATGTCTCTGCTGATGTTTCAGACTCCAGCCAGCAGCACAGCAGACACAGCGACACATCTCACAGGTGTCACGATGTGAAGCACAAAGGATTTTGGGCAGTTTGGGCTGATCTCAGGTGTTCAGGACGTTTGCTCCACAGGTGAGGAGCCTAAAAACTGAAAGCTGGGTCACTGTGTGTTGTCTGAGCTGTGGGGGCACAGATTTCATCTCATCGCTGCTTTGTAAAAGGATTTTAAATCTGTGGTGTGAGGACGTGCAGTGATCTGAGAGGACGACCGAGCAGTTCAGGTGTTTGTCTCAGTGAACTCGTCTCTTTCTTTAAGACAGTCAAAAATCATTGTTACGATTTTCTGACTGCGGTCGTTCCAATGAAGCTGAGGCCTGTGTTCACGTTAGCTTCTGTGTACGAACCCAGGACAGAGACAACATGCTGAGAAACGTTTTTCCAGCACCACACAAGCTTTAAATAATAATAATACATGTGAAACAGCATCAGTGTGTTTTTAGATTTAACACCAGCCCACACCTGCAGGCAGTCCCCCGCCAACCTCATGTCATGAGTGGGATTAAGTCTGAGAACCCACGCAGACACAGAGAGAGAGGCCGGGGGATTCAAACTAGGAACCACGTCACTGTGAGATGTCAGCACTAACCGCAGAGAAACAGGCTGTTTTTACTGTGCGACGTGCCACACCACAACAGGAAGTCGCTGCTGGAGGACAGTTTTAACGTCTCTGTCCCAAATTACAGATGCTGATTCAGGCCGAGGAAGGGAACGTTTCAGACGCTGGGCTTCAAGTTTCTCACATATTCATTTCAAACAGCTGCAGAAAAACAGAGGATGCAACTTTAAAAATGAGAAAATGTTGGTTTGAGATGATGTGACGCAGAACCATGTCTTCATATCTGTGCACAGATTACTCATCATTTCAGCATTAGATAAGGGAAAACAGCAAAAGATACAAACAGGAAGTTCCCAGAGCAACGTGCTCGTCGTCCGATGCTCTCATGACTCTTGTCAGAGGAGCAGCACTGAGTGCGCTCACAGAAATGCTTCAGAAAGTCTCGTGGGTCAGCACGGGCTGGCGTTTTAAATTATTGGCTACATGTTGCACATTTCCAGGTACCCTACAGGAGCGCATCAGCGCGGCGCTCTGGGTGCAAACTGAGGACTGTAGAGCTGCTCAGTGTCTCCACCTGCTGGATTTCAAACCTGAGCTCAGCCTGTAACCAAGCTAGCTGTCAGGTTTGGACAGGAAGTCTGCGCGTTCCAACCGCACATCACAATCTATTTCAGCCTGAGGGCTGCACCTCAGAGGGTTAGCGTGCGTGTGGATGACCTGAGAAAATGTCTGTGGGATTAACATCACACATTCAATTTAAAGACAGAAACGAGATCATATTTACTTCTTTAACCTCTCTCTGCTCACCTGCAGGGGGGTGTGTCTAATCTGGACTAAGCTACACTGTCTCCTCTTCCACAGAGCAAACCGTCCAATCAGAGGCCCGATGAGACAAGAGCGGGTTAATCCACCGCACAGAGCGCCGAGCAGCACGCGTGCTCTGGACAGATGAACGAGTCAGGGTGAAACAGTGTGAGCGGCAGTATGATGGTGATCAACAAGTCTGAAGAAGACATGAGCAACTGCAGCATCAACCATGGGATCCACCAGCACGTGTTCTCCTGCGTCTATATCCTGGTGCTCATGGTGAGTGATGGAAGTATCTTAGCTTTTCGGAAGTATTTCCCGAGTGTTGATAAACGGTGCTCCAGGATCTCCATGTGCTGGATGGTGAATGATCTTGTGTTTGTAGGTTGGTGTTCCTGCCAACGTGTACTCGCTATACCACGCTGCCCTTCAGCTGAAGCAGAGGAACGAGCTGGGCGTTTACCTGATGAACCTCACTGTGTCTGACCTACTATACCTGGCGTCTCTGCCTTTCTGGCTCCAGTACTTCTTTCAGGTAACATAGAGACGTCCTCTCCGCTCGCTCTTCCCTCGGCGGTTCTTCACGGTGCGTCTGAGGCGCTCTGGTTTCAGTCAAAGTGTCGGTGTCATCACAGACAGTTAGCACAGCACCGTGGTGTCGTCCGCCCACCACAGTGGAAGGCTGTGGTTGGAGCTCGACTTCAGGTTCAGTGCCATTAAAAGTGCCACAAGCTGCAGTTCCTCTAGGATCCACCGGGGGCTCCAGCAGTGAGTCAGTCCCACAGACTCCCACAGTTAAACGTTCCTGCAGAAATAAACATGTTTACATCCTGATGCACAAACTGTTTGGTCTCTGTAGATCATTTCCTCCTTTATAACAGCTGTACGAGGGAGGATGTGTTTGTCACTCACATTAAGGCTTAAAGTTTGCATTTTAGGGGCGTGGCCTCTCTGAGTGACAGGTGGATGCTGACACAGGTGGCTGTAGCTGCTAGCTGCCTGCTAGCTTCACCTGAACCGGACCGTGTTTGTGCTGTTGGAGCCTTTTGGTCCCTTTTAATGGTAAATGGTAAAATGGTAAATGGCCTGCATTTGTATAGCGCTTTTCTAGTCCATAGGACCCCAAAGCGCTTTACACTACATTCAGTCATTCACCCATTCACACACACATTCACACACTGGCGATGGCAAGCTACATTGTAGCCACAGCTGCCCTGGGGCGCACTGACAGAGGCGAGGCTGCCAGACACAGGCGCCACCGGGCCCTCTGACCACCACCAGTAGGCAAACACGGGGTTAGTATCTTGCCCAAGGACATTTGGCATGCAGCCAGGATGCAGCCTGGGATCGAACCACCGACCTTCTGATTAGTGGCTGACCTGCTCTGCCACCTGAGCTACAGCCATGACATCATGTGACCAAAAACATGGCTGCTGTGATGTCACTGTGCTAACAGATCTCTCTAACGTCGTCCCGCTAACAGAGTCATGTGACCTGTGGCCGTGTTAAAGCTCTGCTTGGATTAAGTTGGTGTTAGGTGGAGGTGAACTGGGCCATTATTAGCAGTCTCCTGCCCTGACAGCGTGCGCGGGTGGAGTTCCTCCACCTGCCTGTCCTATTTGATCCACCTTCAGTCTGCTGTTGCTGTTTCAGGACGATGATTGGCGTCACCGAGAATGGCTGTGTCAGATGTGTGGTTTCCTGCTCTACGAGAACATCTACATCAGTATCGGCTTTCTGTGCTGCATCAGTCTGGATCGCTATCTGGCTGTGGTCCATCCTTTGAGGTAAGACGGTCTCCCGTCGTTTCGTCCTTCGTGGCTGAGATCAGGACGTCTTTGGGTTTATGAAGAAGTAAAATCACCACGACGCGTTCTGCCCGCAGGTTCACGGCTCTGCGCTCCATGAAAGCAGCGTCCGTCATCAGCGCCATCATCTGGCTGAAGGAGATCGCGGTGGGCGTGTTTTTCTTTCACCATAAGGAGCTCAGCAAAGATCCCAGTAACCACTCGCTGTGCTTCGAGCACTACCCCATGAAGTCGTGGGAACGTCCAATCAACTACTACCGCATCAGCATCGGCTTCATGTTCCCGCTGGCCATTCTGTTGGTACGGTAACGGCTTTACACGTTCTTTGTATGTTTCAGGATTTCTGCGTTGGTCTTAAAGAAGTGTAGAGAACGAGAGCTGGTTATGGTCAGGAAGCCACGCGTCTCCTGGCTCGGTGCCACAGCCATGAGTCCGCCGCTCTGGGTTAATCCCACATCTTCACGATGTTCTCAGTTATTTCATATTTGTAGTTAATTTGTTGTTCAACATTTTCAGCTGCTCACCATATACGATGACCTTATTTGGTTATTCAAACGCTTCCTTTTCTCGATGTCACGGTTTTTTAACTCTTCGCTTCACTGTTGAGAATAAATGTTGTTCATGTTTTTCTGATGAATCTATCCACGGCGCTGGTTTAAAGTATAAATCCCTGAAAACTGGAGTCAAACACAGTAAATGTAGACGAGTACCTGATTCTCCTGTAACCCCGGCGCCTTGTTTTGTCTCGGTTAGATTAGCTACCTGTGGGTCCTGCGAGCAGTGGGCCGGAGCGCGGGAACGCAGCCGGATCAGAAGATGAGGATCAGGCAGTTAGTCAGCAGCACCATCCTCATCTTCCTCGTCTGCTTCTCGCCCTACCACGTCTTCCTGCTGGTGCGCACGCTGCTGGAGGAGGAATGCAGCTTCATCGAAGGTACCGTTTCACTCGCAGGAAGCAGTCCGATAAATAAAGATGGTGCCGTAATACTGTGGTGACACGGTTCTTGTTTTTCAGCCATATTTAACTACTACCACCTGTCCCTGCTGCTGACCACCCTGAACTGCGTGGCCGACCCAGTCCTCTACTGTTTCGTCAGCGAAAGCGCCCGCCGCGGCCTCTACAGAGTTGTCTTCAGACCTGTCGCCAGGATACTCTGCTGCTGCCGTCGCCGTGGCAATGCCAGTCCCGCCAGTCCGGCTAACGACTCCCACGAGGTTGCCACGGACGAGAACAATGGCCAGCCGAACGTGACGCTGCTCACGCACAGCAATACGCTGAACAACGGCCAAATGGACGCCGCCTGCAGAAACACGAGTTTAATCACACGGATGCACGAAGAAAGCGTCAAAGCACGAGTCACAGAGAATAACACCTTGGAAATGTGTGTGACAGAGAAGCAGAAACAAAACCCCGACAGGACGGAGGGACGTGGGCAGAAATGAAATGATCAGCACGCCTCTGGGTACCAATGACCCGCCTGCACGATGAGGGCGGGCTGTACTCCGTGGGGGCGTGTCTGTGCTGATGCAACAGCCCAGCCTGAGGGAGGTCAGGGTGGATCTGAGGTCTGCAGACTGAAAGCCCCCGTTACCCCTCTGTGGCGTCTGACACGGCGCAACATGGCTGACAAAACGCACACGAGGAGTTCTGAAATACTGCAGAGTGTCACGGCATCACGTCTAATAAGACTTCATCATGTTAGACACACATTCGCGTCTAATAACTCGCCTGAAAGGCTCCGTGTGGCAGCGATGAGGTTCCTGTCAAACAGGAAGCAGACGTGGAAGAAATAAACCGAACGCTTTCACCGCAGCGCCGGAACAAACAACAGGACTTCCTGCACTTTGATTTAAAGAACCACACGTAACATGAAGGGACGCAGGAAGACCCGACAGAACATTAGAAACGGTTATTGATCAGTGATCAGATTTGACCCATCGATTGGCTCCAGGACGATTTTGACTTATCGAAGCAAATTCTTTAAAACAAGTTGAGACTTTGTGACCCCTAACCTTTGGTGACCTGTTAGAAAGTGTTTCTCGAGTTCTTGTTATCCTAATAAAACGTAGTTTATTATGACGCTGAGTCACACCGATGTTCCTCGCTGTCAGATAAAGTGCAGAGGATTCAGATTCAGGACAAATCTGTCTCTACTTGAAGCAGAGCTGATAACAAACCTCATCGTTGGCATCAGTAGACTTCAGTTATTGATAATGTGAACCTCACAGATTCCTTCATGTTTAAAGGCAGCAGGGTTTATGTTAGCATGAGGAGCTTCAGACGATGCAGCGCCTGTCCGCGGTGCTTCTCTGAAACAACAGCTGTTTGCATGTCGATCCACGTGCTGCACGACCTGACACAGTCTGCCGACCAAACTATGACATCGCATTGCACTGATCACGGGTCAGTATTAGAAACATGTAGGACCAACATGGCTGCACCCACCTTATTGACAATGAAAGGTCAGGGGGCGGGATTTGGGACGAGGTCCACGAGAAGGTGACCGTGAGCGGGCGATTAGCCAAATTTCAGTCAGGTAACTTTTATTCTGGAAGCGTTTGGCCGACGTGCGGCAGTCAGACCGCCTCCCATCTGTGAAAAACACGACTCACAGTGTTCTCTTCATTTTACTTTTAAAAAGAAAACTGTTAGTTTACACACACACAGACGCACACACACCGGTCACAGCATGTCTTCATAGTCTCCCTTTGAGCCCATTTCAGCACTTTAACGCTGAGGAAAGAGACTCACTCTGGGGTCTGGATGTTGCTCTCTGCATGCATGGAAATGCCTCCAAGTCTGAATACGTACATAGTAAGAATCTGTGTGTTGACTCTGTGTGTCTATAGATCTGTGTGCTGTAACCTGCACGTAACATGAAAGTGACAGAATATTTTTATAAAGCTTTAAACTGAGCACTAAACAGAAACGGTGTGTGTCTGTGTGTGTGCGTGTGTCTGTGTGTGTGCGTGTGTGTGTGTGTGTGTGCGTGTGTGTGTGTGTGTGTGTGTGTGTGTGTGTCTGTGTGTGTGTGTGTTTTCAGGCCTGTGGTGAGTGATGCAGCTTCCTGACTCTGAGCAGATATGGAAACGATGTAAACATTAACTTGTTACACTGTTTAATATATGAACACATCTCAGTGAAATGTTTCACCTCACAATAAATAACCAATCACAAACAGAATCCCCCGTTTTCTCAGTTTGAGTCTTTTGCCTTTCACATCAGTTATCATGACGCCAATCACCCTCCTAAAACCAACCCCCCCACCCCCCCACACACACACATGTAGATATGTCAGTTATGTTTGCAAAAAAAAAAAAAGGGGGGGGGGATAGAACATTATATATAATATATACATTAGGTGAATGTGCAGTAGTAGCATTTATGCAGCGAGCAGGTGAATTCTGTACATCAAGTGAATAAATAAGAATAAACAATCTGAACATATTTAACATTAAAGGAATTTGAAATGTACTCATGTTAGACACACAGTCTGGAAGAGAGTCCTGTCTCAGTCACTTATGGATGGTAAATGGTAAATGGCCTGTATTTATATAGCGCTTTACTAGTCCCTAAGGACCCCAAAGCGCTTTACATATCCAGTCATCCACCCATTCACACACACATTCGCACACTGGTGATGGCAAGCTACATTGTAACCACAGCCACCCTGGGGCGCACTGACAGAGGCGAGGCTGCCGGACACTGGCGCCACCGGGCCCTCTGACCACCACCAGTAGGCAACAGGTGAAGTGTCTTGCCCAAGGACACAACGACCGAGACTGTCCAAGCCGGGGCTCGAACCGGCAACCTTCCGATTACAAGGCGAACTCCTAACTCTTGAGCCACGATGGATGGTGTGTGTGTGTGGGGGGGGGATAGCAGCTCCCCCTGAGTCTCCCCGTCCTTGCCTGGATGATGAGGAACCTTCTACCTGATTGCAGAAGTTGGAACAGTTTGTTGCTCAACAGCGATGAGCAAGTAATAAACCTCAAATATTAAAACACAGCACTGACATATACAGCACGGCTCAGGCCAAACGAGTCCACAGACGCACTCAAAGGTCCTTCCATAGTTTAGAAACTGCAGCCTCTGTTTAGTTTTCAGTCTAGAACGAGGAACTGCCAACGGGTCTGTGTCAGAAGCCGTCGGTGACCTGCACGACTCGAGCCTGAGAGCTCATGCACAGACGGAGAAACAGGTCACGAGGCCAGTGACAGGACATCATCAGCAGCCTCGCAGCAGCATTTTGGAGCGTTCACAGGCCATCTGAAGACGACTTACCGAGGCCACAGCACGAAACAAAGGCATCAAAAAGCACTTCTCTTTCCAGCTTGGACGTCGTTGTAAATGCAACACCTACATTTCTGACAAGTGAGAGATGATTAGCAGCCATCCAGATGTTTTTGGCATCAGTACCACAGGACATCATCTGCAGCAGTGATATGAGATGCCCGTAAAGATGCTGGAGATGTGTTTGTGTGATAGTAAATACAGAGTCAGGATCTACAGTCTCTGCTTCTTCATTGCTGCAGCTCTTTGTGGCCAGCCGGACATCGAGGAGCCGCCTGGTAAGACTGTAATGTTGGAGAGATCCTGACGTGAAGGTTCACTTTGTTCCACAATAAACAGAAACTTCACCCAGGAGCAGTCTGCAAACGCTCCCAGCATTTTCCGGCATGACAGAGAAACGGAGGCCAGAATGAAAACCAAGTGATTCACTTTATCACACTTTAATGGAAAACCTCAGAAAACTCCGTTAATCCTAATCCCATCTGAAATCTGTGATCAGCTCGGAGCTCTGAGGCAGGAAACACGAGCAGGACTCACAGGTAACGAGGTGAAGACAAAAAGTAGACCCGAGGGGAAACACCTGGGTAACCATAGACAGGTGAAACGAAGCATGAAAAACAAGACATGGGGAGCAAAACTAAAAGACACGGAGAGTTCAGCTAAAACTAGTGATGGGCAGATGAAGCTTCATGAAGCACTGAAGCTTTTCATCCAATTGGTTCACCCCAGCACAAAGCTTCTTGAAGCTTCATTTGCTCTAGTAGGACACCTACTGGACGTAAAAATATTAGTTGGCATGAATTTGAAGTGTGGCCTTTTGCACACAGCCTGTAAATGTCAACAACAAAAGGAGTGTGTAAAACATGTATATTGTAGTGATGGCAGCATACTTTGTATATTTATACTGGCAGTATGGAAAATGATCATTTACTGTGAGGTGAGGTGTGGTTGGGGTGTGGACAATGGTTGTGCTTTTGTAACGTTGAGGTATGGACAGCTACACACTCCTGCCCATATTTTATTCAGTAAAAACTAAATTTTCACTGCTTTTATGACCTTTTTAGTGGGGAGAACATAGCTAGGATTTAATAATTTAACAAATCTTTTACATCCTTTGTCCTCCACAATGCTAAATGGCTGGGAGTCCTCAATCACCATGCTAACCAGGTCTTCATCTATTTGAGATTGTTCTCCTGAGGAAAGACAATAAAGACAAAGCACAAATATATCACACACGTAACTTATTACAGCTGTATAATATTGTTATATCATTTAGTAACATTACTGCATGCTATATTATCATGGCATTTGATGGCTCACCTGGTCTTGCTCCACAATCGCTGTTCCCCTTATTCTCATGCAAAGCTCTGTAGTGCCTAAGCATGGATGAGGTGTTGCTGTTATATCCCAGCTCCCTGGCACATAGCAAACACTTCACCTTGTACAAAAGTAAAGCCGCTTAACATAAATTGTATTGCACCATCAGTATTATGAAAATACATCTTCTGTAGAAATACCTTGTTGGGAGTAATAAGATCACAATGTTCCCACACAGGGGAGGACATCCTCCTCTTCTTAGCTGGCTCCATTCTCTCCTGACTTTCTCTCCTCACTCTCATAAACCTCCAAACTCTCACTAACCGCAACTCTCCATCAAACACCCACATTTTGACTGAAGTCTGAGGGGTTTGTATCGCTGTCATAGCTCGCGGCAAAGTTCGAACCGCTTCATGAACCAGTCACGTGGTACAGCCGGGCAGCGAGGCTTCGGACGTCATCATTTTCAGCTCCTCCCATAAATGAAGCAAGCCTCGATACGCGCATCGCGGAAACGCCCCCTCCATTACTCGACACAAGCTTCGAAGCCTCGATACAGAACGTCACATCACTAGCTAAAACATCAAACTATGAAGCTGCGACTCTGCAGAGAAACTAGGATTTCAAAACATCAAGAACTGAACTGACTTGGTGCTAACCTCAGACTCTACCTCACACATTAAGATTATAAACTAAGGATTGAAAACGACAAAACACAGAGACCATTACACAGAGAAGGTCACATACCTGCTAATTAGCATGTTCCTGTCCTCATATCCCAGCCGGTCTCGGCAGATGGCCCCGCCCCTTCCTGAGCCTGATTCTGTTTGGAGTTTCTTCCTGTTGAAGGGGAGCTTTTCCTTCCCACTGTCACTGCAGTGCTTGCTCATAGGGGGCAGTAGGTCTTTATCTGACAATATAAAGTGCCTTAGGTGACTGTTGTTGTAGTTTGGTGCTGTATAAGTAAATTGAAATAATTAATGCTGAGGATCATCCAAAGAAAAAGCTGCTTTCAGGCTCTTCACTGCCACAAGGGGGCGCCACAGCAGGTCTGACTTGGCACAGTGTTGGTTTTGTGTCTCTGACTGAAAGTAAACATTCAGTTAGAAACGTTTAAATATGAGGAGACTGACCCACTGTGGTGATGATAACAGCTCCTTCCTGCCTCTCTGTGGTTTCTTTGGCCTCACTGTCCAAGGTGAGGAAGAGCCCGGTGCTGGCCTGCTTCATCATGTGAAGGTGGGTGGTGTTCTGCTGTGATGAAGCTGCAGATGGACTCTTTGAAGGATAAAGGGCTTGTTTGTGAGATGCAGCTCCTCCTTCGTTCAGACAGATCCAGCTGAAGTCGGCCTCAAACCCATCTTTGTTTACAGGTTTATCTAAACTGGCTGTCGAGCACGCTGATCAGCTGCTCACAAAACCAACAGAACGGGCAGGGGAAAAAAAGAAAAAAAAATGCATATATCGATCACCTGGATCACCTGCTGAGAAAGAAAAAAGAAAACAAGCAGAAGAGAACAAGAGTAATAGAATAAACAACATCACAATGATATATGGGAATATGACAGTAAATACTAAATGTTAAACATTATTGTGCAGCACGTAAGATCGACAGAACACAGTGTGCTTTGAGGTAGGAGCCAAAAAGGGTGTAGTTTGTGGGTGTGATCACCCGTGTGTACACCTGTGAGCATGGACGCGCTTGTTTTTTTTAAAAGGTTCCTTCATGTAATAATCTGCTAGAGGGTGTGGGGGGGCCACAGCTCCGTCCTCTAGGGCATGAAGCAGGTATGGAGGAGATCAAAACTCCAGACATCCGGAGGCCCTCAGAACACAAGAGACCAAGGAAGACCAACAGAGGGGCAGCCGCGCCACTGTCCCAGAAAGAGCTGAGGAGAGTCCCAGATGAGGGCTCACCCAGCAGCTGCGGAGCAGAAGCCAGGGGGAGTTGCAGTGACGCGCCCGTGAGCTCCGCCGGCAGCCTGCTGTGCCTGAGTGACCGAGCCCCAGGCCGAGAGGCCGGGGGCACCCCACCTCCGGAGTGGCCCGAGCAAGCCCCAGGCTCCAGGCCCCAATAAGCGGCCGCCAAGGAGTGAACCGGTGTGTACCTGGACGCCCATCCCCAGACACAAAGAACCACCAACCCACCGACACCTGAGGGAGTCCGCCACTGGCAGGGGAAGTGGTGGTGGGGGGAGATAGACCTCCAAACCTTGGAGGGCCTGAGATGTCCCCAGGGAGGTGGCGTCTGATACCCAACCTGCTTCTTACTATCAAAGCGCTTCATAACCTCGCTCCTCCATATTTATCTGATCGCCTCCATACGTACTCGCCCCCTCATTCTGTCTGTTCCACCTGCTCGCCTGACTATCCTGGGACTCAGAGCCTTTAGTTGTTCTGCCCGAGACTTTGGATGCACTTCCACCAGATCTCCGGACCACAAACTCTCTACTTTTAAATCCTGTCTCAAAACCATTTATTTAGGATTGCATACTGTCTTAGACTGTCTTAGTCCATTTTTACCTTGCTCAGCTTTGATGCTTTCATGCTTGTGTTTTGTTTT